CCCCCAGCGTGGGCGTTTTCAAGAATGGCCGCGTGGAAATCATCGCCAATGACCAGGGGAACCGCATCACGCCGTCCTACGTGGCGTTCACGCCCGAGGGGGAACGCTTGATCGGGGACGCTGCCAAGAACCAACTTACATCCAACCCCGAGAACACCGTGTTTGATGCCAAGCGGCTCATTGGCCGCACCTGGAACGACCCTTCTGTGCAGCAGGACATCAAGTACCTGCCGTTCAAGGTGAGTCCCAAATGTGGAGGGGTGGATGGCGGGAGGGGGACCTCTGAGTCTGGTCAGAAGAGACTGCTGAATCAGGGTGCCCTTTTGAGCAACCTTGCAGTGCCCTAGCCCTCCTGAGAGGGTTAGGATGCAGCCATGTGGCTGTGGTGTATAGACAACAGTTCTTTGTGTTAGCTAGCATTCAAATTACGTCTTGTTATATAGAGGCTTTGTTTAATCTTCAGAGAGAGAGAAACACTTGGGCCAGTGGGAATAATTCTATGAAGTGTTGAATAGGACAGCATATGTTGTTCTTTTCAGGTTGTTGAAAAGAAAGCCAAGCCCCATATTCAAGTTGATGTTGGAGGTGGACAGACAAAAACATTTGCTCCTGAAGAAATTTCTGCTATGGTCCTGACAAAGATGAAGGAAACTGCTGAGGCTTACTTGGGAAAGAAAGTAAGTTCATGAGTGCTGCTAAGAAGAATCTAAAGCAGCAGCTTTATAAAACTGAAGGTGGGTGGGCTGAATCTGTGGGCTGACCTCTGTTCAGTGCTGCTGGACCCTTAGGCCAGCCCAGTTGAATGGGCTCAGTTGATGGTGGGTTTTTACTTCTCTTTGAAGAACAATGGGGTACTTGCTACCAGTGTTGCTATAGCTATTTAGATGTTACCTGCTTTTCTTCCATTTCTATAACAAAATTGTATCTGTCTCCTTATTCAGGTTACCCATGCTGTTGTTACTGTGCCAGCCTACTTCAATGATGCTCAGCGTCAGGCTACGAAAGATGCTGGTACTATTGCTGGGCTGAATGTGATGCGAATCATCAATGAGCCGTAAGTAGCCTAACCTATCCTGCCTCCTGGGGAGCTGGGTGCTGGTGGTCCCAGTGTTCTGAATGGGCTGTTCCCTATACAGAACGGCTGCTGCCATTGCTTATGGATTGGACAAGAGAGAGGGCGAGAAGAACATCCTCGTGTTTGACTTGGGTGGTGGAACTTTTGATGTCTCCCTCCTCACAATTGACAATGGAGTCTTTGAAGTTGTGGCTACTAATGGTGACACTCACCTGGGTGGAGAAGACTTTGACCAACGTGTTATGGAACACTTTATCAAACTCTACAAGAAGAAAACTGGAAAAGATGTCAGGAAGGATAACAGAGCTGTGCAGAAGTTAAGACGGGAAGTGGAGAAAGCAAAGCGAGCCTTGTCATCTCAGCACCAGGCTAGAATTGAAATAGAATCCTTCTTTGAAGGAGAGGATTTCTCAGAGACGCTTACTCGAGCCAAGTTTGAGGAGCTGAACATGGTAAGTTTAGAAAGGTAAAGTTACATGGCCTCAGCTCTAGATTGGAGACTTGTGAATGTGCAGTATTTCATGATGTGACACTGCACTTTGGGGTATAAATAACTTCCTGCTTGTGGTAAAAAGCAGGCAGCTGCTCCTTGCTGGGGTAGCTGGGGCTGTGTGTGTGTGTTAATGACAGCTGAAGTCTCATCAAGGCTGGTTATAAGCCAGTTGATGTTCCTCCTCTATAGCAGTTGTCCTTTGTACCCCAAGGCTGCGTAATTCGGAGGCTAGCCATGTGGGAATACAGTCTTACAGCCCTGGGCTTTTTTTGCCCTCCTAGGACCTGTTCCGTTCTACTATGAAACCTGTTCAGAAAGTTCTGGAAGATTCTGACCTAAAGAAGTCTGACATTGATGAGATTGTTCTTGTTGGTGGCTCTACTCGCATCCCCAAAATACAGCAACTAGTTAAAGAGTTCTTCAATGGGAAAGAGCCATCTCGTGGCATTAATCCAGATGAGGCTGTAGCCTATGGTGCAGCTGTCCAGGCCGGTGTTCTCTCTGGGGACCAAGATACAGGTAATGACACCTTCACTGTCACTTCAAGAGAGCATTGACTCAGAGTAGTGGGTATTAGTTACCTACAAATGTAGTAGAGCTTTTCCAGTCCTTAAGAAGTTCTCTGCCTCTGAGACATCAGCATCCTGTTTGTAGTGATGAGATGCTGTGTTTCTTTCAGGTTGAAGTCATGTCAGTCTTACCCTTGATCTGTTACAGGTGACTTGGTACTGCTTGATGTCTGTCCTCTGACGCTTGGCATTGAGACTGTTGGAGGTGTAATGACTAAACTGATCCCAAGAAATACTGTTGTTCCCACAAAGAAGTCTCAGATCTTCTCCACAGCTTCTGACAATCAGCCAACTGTGACAATCAAGGTCTATGAAGGTAAGTGTCACCTGTGGTGGACCGTGTTTACAGCTGGAATCTGTCTATAGGACTTCAGTACTTGCTACTGTCTTATCACAAAGGCTGTAGTTATTTCTAGATGGTTATGGACATCTCCTTATAGGGGGAGGCCTTGGTAACAGTGGTGGCTTTCTGAAGCTGCTTTGATCAGGCTTCTTTGACCTGCATCAAAAGCTGTTACTAGACTTTTTTTTTCAAATGTGTCTTTTTCCATGGTTGCATTCTGAAGAGCTCTTCAGAGTAAGAGGTGGTAACTGTTGGAAGTGGCTAGGCAGATGCCTGGTTGGAATTAAAACCTTCCCTTTAGAAAGTGTGCAGCTCGTGGTTTCACAAAGTACAAGCCGCAGCTAGGAAAGAAAGAAACCGTATTCTAATTGTGTCTTCTAGGTGAGCGTCCCCTCACCAAGGATAATCATCTTCTGGGAACGTTTGATCTCACTGGAATCCCTCCTGCCCCTCGTGGTGTCCCCCAGATTGAAGTCACCTTTGAAATAGATGTGAATGGAATCCTCCGTGTCACAGCTGAAGACAAGGGCACTGGGAACAAAAACAAGATCACAATTACAAATGATCAGAATCGGCTGACACCAGAAGAGATTGAAAGGATGGTTAATGATGCTGAGAAGTTTGCAGAGGAAGACAAGAAGCTTAAGGAACGCATTGATGCCCGGAATGAGCTGGAAAGCTATGCCTATTCTCTGAAGAATCAGATTGGGGACAAAGAGAAGCTGGGTGGTAAGCTGTCATCTGAAGACAAAGAAACAATAGAGAAAGCAGTTGAGGAAAAGATTGAGTGGCTTGAAAGCCATCAAGATGCAGACATTGAAGACTTCAAAGCAAAAAAGAAGGAGCTGGAGGAAGTTGTTCAGCCAATTGTTAGCAAGCTCTATGGAAGTGCAGGCCCTCCCCCTGGTGAAGAGGAAGCAGCAGAGAAGGATGAGTTGTAGATACTGGCATTGCCGAATGTTGTGTGTGTATATATTGGACTCAGGAACACTTGTTTAAAATATTGAACTCTTAATTTGGAATGTAACTTTGAATCTTCACTCGTGAGTGGAGCTGGAAACGCTAGCCCGAAGTGGCTGTATACTGCTTTTCGTTAGCAGTTGCTCAATGTCTGGGGAGGGAAGGGTAGTGGGGGGGAATGTAAATGCGAAATGGGTTTAGAAGTATTGGCAGTGGAAGCATCCTATTTAACAACTTGGTCATGTGAATTTGGTGTAGAACTTTTCTACCTGAAGTGACCACAATAAATTTGCTATTTACACTGGACTTTGTTCTAGTTTTGTTTTCCTTTACCTAGTTACAGCAGCCAGCTTTAACTAGATGTGGATTATGCCTAAACAGTTGGATTCAGATTGACCACGGGTATGGTACCCCTTCAAGGTAAGCGTTTCATGGGATGGTGTGAACTGTAACAGCCCTACGCTTCCTGCAGTCTGGCTGCCCTACAGCTTCTCCTGTGGAAGAGAGCCCCGAGGGTACTTGGTGTGGAGAAAGCTGGAAAGGAAAAGATGAGAGGTTTGAAAGCTGTAAGAATGCTGATGTGTCTGGCTTGGGGCCAGCAGGAGGTCTCCTTGGGGAACTTGACCTCAGCCTGTTCGGTGCTGACAGATGGCTGTACCCCTCTCCTCTTGGGGCTGGGGAACAGGTGCTGTGAATGGCTCCAGCAGTTTGGCATCTCTTGCCTGTGGTTGAATGGGGACCCCTGACAAGTGCTACACCCTGATGCTGAAGTGTACTGGTGTATTTGGAACTGTAGTGTAAAGTTCATGATGTAATAGATCCTAATAAGGAAGGGGGGTAGTCAACCTAAGTAACTGCTAAAGGGAGAGGGGTCTCTGTGCTTGTGCAGCTTCACTAGAGCCTGGAGAGGTGGTAGGTTCTCAGAGCTGTAGTGGAGCTATGTGCCTGCATCAGTGATGATGCAAACCATGTAAGGGAGGAGACTAGCTTAACTACAACTGATTTCCTCCTGTTTTTAGGTCTTGCGTGAGACAATGGACCAGTTTTCTGAAGACTGAAAGCTAGTCTGTATATAATAAATGCTCTTAGATAAAAAGGCTGAGTTCAGTTAAGCTTCTTTTTAAACTGTGATCTTTACCCCATCCATGGGATTAGAGAAGAAATTGAACCAAGTATGGAAAGAGCTTTTGTGGTGCCTGCTCTTAATACCTCCTTAAAACCACTGGGCACTTCACATTTTCTGTGGTGTGGGGGGACAACGTTCTGGTTTTCATTTATTCATGTTGAAAATGATGAAAGCTAAAACTCAAATCATCCCCCGCCCCCAACTTTGTTTCCAGGTAGTGCTGTGGCTTTGCAGGCAGAAGTGTTTCTGTAGACAAGAGTATGCGAGTTTCTTCTGGTGCAAAGCTGTCCAGACCCAGCAGAAACCATGCCAGGCTCTCATGTTCTGGCAACCTGTGGTCAAGTGACAGTGGCTGAAGCCTTTCTGCAGTGGCAGCAAGGACTGCTGTGCCTACTGTCAGCAGGACTGCGTACAGAGAAAGCACCTGCACCTCAGGGCTGTGTTAGCACAGTGACATCCCTTTGAGGGTAAGAATTTCTTTATTGGAAAGAATTAATTTAATCTGACAGTACTATAAAAACTGTGTAGAAAAGGCTGGTGCTGTGCAGGACTGCAGCTCTGCTATTCAATCAGACTGACAATGCAGTCCCTATATATTTCCCCCTGTGTGTCCATCCCACCAAATATTAATAGCAGATGCATGACTGTGTCTTCAGCACACCCCTCCTCCTCTTGGCTCTTCTGGAGGGGGCCAGCTTTGTCACCCACTGATGCAGTTGACTCTCTCCTAGCTTTGTTGTCCCTGGTGACAGCTCCTGCGTCTCTGCTCTTGCCAGCCTGCCAGGGAATGACACACATGGTGTGGTCCAGCCTCCCAGCGGGCAGAGGGGAGTCAAACTGTAGGAGCGTCCACTGCTGCTTCTCTGCAGTGCAAAGATACACATCTTTAAATGTAGCTTCAGAGGCTTAAAAAGCATGCTGGGACAGTGACATCATTAATTAGGTTAGTTTTCAACATTATAGAGCATTTAGTCTTGTACTGGTGTTAACTCCAGTGCAATGATACAGACTACCAGGGGGGTGAAGCCTGGGAACTGAGGGCGTAATGCATTTTCCAACTGACTGGCACTTACCCTTACGCAACTGAGAGAAATCTCCTTACCTGTGTGATACTTGTATGTAGTATCTAGTGTCCCATCTGGACCTATTCCACCAAAAATGTACAAGTGATCTTTAAACACAGCTGATGAGTGGGATGCCCGTCCTCCTGGGACATCACCTGTGGCTGGTATCTTAACCCATCTCATGTCATCTGGTGGAGAAAAAGAACATGTCTATGGTTATGCATTATAAAAAAATCCATCAGTTTTGTTGTTTTAAACAAATAGGGTGATATTTTAAGCACTTAAGAACTGATCTTTTAGAAATAAGGTTCCCTAAATTCAAAATGCACCACACAACAGCTGTTGCTATGTCCATACTTACTTATATCAATGCAGAATAGATCATTGTAAAAAATATCACCAGCTAAACCTCCATGGATGAAGAGTTTGGTCCCAACTGCAACCACAGCGTGTCCATGCCGAGGAGAGGGGGGATCACCGTGAGTATCTGGCTGGGACCAGGTCAAGGTGGCTAAAAATGGGAGTATATGTGCTCCATTAGGAAGGGAACTCTGGAAGCTCTACAAGCCAGTGACCCCAGAGCCCTGCGGAGGCTTCCTAAGGAAGTGCCTCCAGCAGTTAATGCCATGTCTTACAGCGTGGGCAAGCCCTCCGATGGAGCTCTGTGTGCTGTTTGGGTTGCTCGGCAGCAGGAAAGATGAATTCAAACCAGAAAGCAAACCTTTTCTGGTGCACACAGGGCCCTCAGAATGAACGGTACAACTCTGACAGTACGTGAGCAGCACAGGACCATGCCACCACAGAAAGGCATCTGCTGTTGGGCAAAGGTGACAAGCCACTCCCATCTCCCACTGCGTTCCTCATCCCAGAGCTTTACACTGCTGTTTTGGCCCAAATTCCCAGCAACTACATAAAGGTAAGTGCACATCAACAGCGAGGAACACCTGCCCATCCATTTAAACTCAAAGCCAAAGCAGGGGCCCAACGCTTCCATGTCTCTGCATCTGGAATGCAGACCTCTGCTTCAACAGCGGCTGGATTCCACCGTTTGGCATAAGGGCCCTTTACCCGTCCAGAGGTACCTGAGTCAAACACGTGAAGCCGCTGGTCTTTAACGGGTTCTGCTCCTTTATCTCCCCCTCCAAACACGTACAGACAGTCTCCTACGGCTGCTGAGGAGGTGTGAAATGTCCTAGGCAGCGGCTGCACTCCACTCACTTCAGGACTCTCCCAGGTTCCTGTTTCTAATCGAGACGTTTGATTAACAAAGTAATCAAGGCAGTAACAGAAAACGCGCTCTGCTCCCCCTCCCAACTGGCAGCCACCCCGAAGGCGCCTGGCCGGGGCTCCGTGGCTGTCTGGCCCGCACCTCCCCGCCTGGGAGCCGGCTCCGGGCAAACCGAACCGCGAGGGGACCCCCGGGCGCCGGCGGTTCGGGGTCCCGCTGCCGCGGGTCCTCGGGCACTCACCGAGGTCCAGCGCCTGGACGCAGCTCCGGTTCCCCGCCGGGTGGGCGCCGCCGAAGACCCAGAGTCGCGGGGGGTCGGTGGCGGGCAGGAACGTGGCGTGTTCGTAGCGGGGCCGCAGCCCGCTCCAGCCGGCCGCGACCC